AGCCCAAAACTTTCCACTTGGGGGCAAGGAGGGAGCAAGTGGGATAAAACTTTTTTTTTTTTTGGTCAGTTATAAGGCTTGAACTCAGGACCTGGACCCTGTCCCTGAGCCTCTTTATGCTCAGGGTTAGCACTCTGCCACTTGAGCCACAGCACCACTTCGTTTTTGAGTGGTTAATGGAAGGTTAAGAGTCTCATGGGGACTTTTCTGCCAGGGCTGGCTTCGAACTGTGATCCTCAGATCTCAGCACCTGAGTAGCGAGAATTACAGGTTGAACCACCGGCGCCTTGCTAAAATAAATATTTCATATCAGTGTCTGATGGCTTTGGAAACTGTGACAATCATGGAAGTGGTATAGTCATGTGACATTTCTTCCACGAGTTACAGGTCTTTATGTGTCATTCTTCATTTATAAAGGAAAACAAAAAGATTTTTAGGGTTTTTTTAATGGTTGCCGGGGCAACAACTAAACTATGTTCCACAGTTACCAGGACCTCAGAAGACCACATCCGGTCCAAGACCCGCCCCTGGCTTTCAAAGAAATGCCTCCCACCCCAAAATCACCTCACCTGGTCACAGTAAGTGCTGATAAAATTCCTGAGGCCTACAGGTTAGCACCAAGTCCCAAAAACCTCAAAGTAGAGCCCTCATCCAGTGTGTGAACAAAGATGATAACCCTAATTGACCTCCTGCCTTCACCACGTCTGGGTCAAGACAAGCCACGCGCAAATCCACATCGGCTCCAGAAGCCCCAATCAACTAGTTCATCTGAGTCTAGTAGTGAACTCTTTCCCCGGGAAGAAGGACTGAAGATGAGACACCCCGGGAACCGGAACCCACCAGAGGGAGTCGCACCGGCCGAGCGACGGTTTTGGAAGGCTGGCTAGCTCCAGCCGCACGGCGCACAGCTGCGGTAGCGCTAGGAAAATGAGGGCGGGGCTTTCAACTCTGTGGTCTTTGCTTTTCTTCCAGAGGACCAATAGGAGAGGGGGAAGGAGGTTCTGCAGCCGGCGGGTAAACGGGATTGGTTATCTCTGTCCTTTCGCTTTTACTACTGTTTAGTCCCATTTCCCTTTCCCGCTTGACTAGGTTGAAGCTGGCTGGAATCTCTGGAGATTCAAGAGGGAAATCTCAGCCTTCTCCACTCGTGGTTTAATTTGGGTTTCAGCATTTCTGGGATTGGAAGGAATGCCCTCAGAGGTCCCACCATGGAAGGGACCCTTCCAACGGTCTTCTCAAAGCCCAGCTGCTGCTGGTTTCTTGTGTTTCGTCGGCGATGCCCGCATATGTGCTCGACGATGTGCGGAAGCACCGGAGTTCGGTGGGAAAGCCATATTTAAAAGACCTTATGTAACTTTTACATGGACCTGGATGGTTCGTTTGTTTTTGCCTCGCAGTGGTATTCCGTGGTATAACATCCCACTATTTGACCATTCACCTCTGAACGACGTCTGCGTGGTTTCCAGGATGACACTATTACAGATGAAGCTGTTAGGAAACACTCGCTGACAGCCAAGTAACATCTAAGAAGACACTTAAGGCTCTGGGGAACACAATTTGAGGACCATCCGTTTTCTTAGGCTTTCAATACACTGCGTTAAAATGATCTCCCCATAGCCAAGCACCGGGGACTCAACGCCTTTGCTACTCAGGTAGCTGAGATCTGAGGATCACGGTTCAAAGCCAGCCTGGGTAGTAAAGTCCGTTACACTCTTAATTTCCAATTAACCAGCAAAAAACTGGAAGAGTGCTAGCCTTGAGCACGAAGCTCAGGGACAGCAAGGCCCTGAATTCACAGTCTGTGTGAATGATCTTGAAGTAATTGAATATGGCTACAGTGTCAGTTGTAATTTATCTTGGGTACCTTCATGGTATAAGGGCTCTAGGGCCACAGACAAGGTTTATGTGGATTAAATATAATTAAACACACAATATCTGGTCTGCTTCCTTCCTAGATATTTCCTCACTTCTGATCCTGGGGTTGAGGGTGCAAGGGTACAATCCTTTTGTTCTGTGTGTGTGTGTGTGTGTGTGTGTGCCAGTCATGTGTGCCAGTCATGTGGACTTTCCTAGTGGGCTGGCTTTGAATAGGGGTTATCAGATCTCAGCCTCCTGAGTAGGTAGGATTACAGACATGAACCTCCACCACCCATAGTCATATTTTATTATAAAAATACTAGTAGGGGGCTGGGAAGGTGGCTCAGTGGTAGAGCGCTTGCATGCCTGAGGCCCTGGGTTTGATTCCTCAGCACCACATAAGCAAAATGAAAAAAAGCCAGAAGTGGCGCTGTGGCTCAAGTGGTAGAGCACTAGCCTTGAGCTGAAGAGCTGAGGGACAGCGCCCAG